GGGACAATGTGCCATGTTATGCAGCAAACAAATAAGTCAATACCTTATCAAGTGTACTGTGAAAGCAACGTTCTGTATGATATGGTTAATTTTAAAGCTAACATTCCTTCTTAAATCCAGTTGGCTACTCGCCCCTTTCCTGTTGATATTCATACGATTAATGTTAATGGTATTAATATCATCTAACATGGACATTTAGTCAAGGCTTTCTAGTTATGAAGAATGGTCAAGAATTGTCTAGGGAATTTTAGCCACTCAGACACAGAATGGTGTTGTGAATGATTGACTAAAAAAAAAAACAATTCATGAAGCACCCACTGACGAAGTTACTACCAAACTTGATATCCCTTGTTACATTTAGGTAGTGTCAAAAGTTATAAAAGCCACTTCAAAAACCTTATATTGAACAGATGTTCGAACTTTAGACGAATTGCTAAAAACACTCTTTTGACAGACAAACTAAGCGTGTTAAAAACAACCTCAATAAGCATATTTCCATTCAAGTTTGAACAATGACACACCAGGAGAGCACATCGTCACATCTGAAAAGATCACACCATTGCAGAAGAACAGAATTACCTTCTAAATGACTGAAATCACCACTGCTGATGGACAACGTCCAAAAACATATTCTCTACAAGATAATTACTGAGCAAGTTCTAGTGCATTGGTATCCAGACCCTCAAGTAGCTCAAGGAATGCCTGGATGTTGTCAAGGACCTCAAGGTGTAATGGCTGTAAAAAGCTGACCGTTCTGGTTAAAACTGGCGCAATCCTCCAGTAACTACCCACTACATTAGCATACAACATTAGCGATGAGAATAAACAGATGACGGGTATTGAATGATTGCAAGACACTAAAAATCAAATTTGTTGCATTCCACCAAAACATACATAACGCAACTACTCCTGGAAGATTAAAGGTAAAAACCTATTTACCGTGAATAGCATGCTTGTAGTCATTCATAAAGTAACTATTCAAAAGTTTCTTGTGTATATTCATGAGATTCTGCTGTTCTAGAGAACATTACCACTGTAGTGGCAACAATTATAAAAAGTTGTGCAAGGCAATGTAATAGAATTTCCAAAAGTGTAAGGAGTTGTATCAGTTCGACTCGTAAATTTGCAAGTTAAATACTCAGGGGCAACACCATAGAGATTTGAAAACCACTAAAACTTTTTCAATGTTATGTTGAGTACTAAAATTTTTCCAGTTGTATGTGTCGAGCTGCTCGAATTTGTTCTTTTGGAAGTTTATCCAATTTGTCTGCTATCAACGGATGCCATTAACCAAACAATGTACCCTGCATGTCTTTCGGCTAAAGAATATCACAACTTCAAAAACTTTTATTTTGTTGTGTTAATACAGTGGTTAATGCTAACTACAGGTTATTTTTCATAAACACGCAGCTTTCCAGGGAATTCCTAGTGTTACATTTTCAAGCAGAACAGCTTTATTGTGACAAATCTGAAAAGGCTATGTTAAGGGTCAGGAATGAGGTGAGAACCCCAAAATACACGATTTTACTATTCGCGCTCAAAATTGCTAAATAAGGAAGGACTTTCCGAGCTACCTCACAACAAAAGGCATATTAGAACTCCGATGGATGATCTGCTGATGTAGCCTGCGCCAAACTTGGCTGCTTGCGTTTACATGGTTTCAGCGACTTTATTTCTCCATGATTTATTTAAACAACTTATAGCAGAAAAAAATATTAATCATTAATTAAGAAAAGTGATTATAAAATCAAAGACACAGGCAGCTCCGAGTACTCCTACTAGGAGTCTAAACTATGAACTTTTGGCAAACGGTTTAGATGCTCTATCACTAAGCTACATGGGACCTGTAAGAGCTACGGCCTGTAAACTAGGTTCATGTGACAATCCTGACTGGAATGCCTATATGTGCTTAAGAACAATGACTGTATACTTTGAGTCTGGTGAATAAAAGATAATGATATTTTACACAGACAGCTTCGAAGTATTCCTAATAGGAATCTAAACTATGATCTATGACAAGATTAAATATTGTTCTTGAAAGCTGGTGTTGCAAAATTAAAAACCATTCTGTAGACAAACCACCTAGACACTGTTGCTTGATCACTGTATTCTTTACATTTATTTACTGGTAGGGGTTTGTCCACATTATATCTCCTGCAAAGCATACTTTCAACTGCCAACGGTTTCACCAACTAAAGTACGAAGATTAGTTGGATTTTGACAAAACAAAACATCCCAAGATAAAAACTTCCAAGAATTCAAGTCCCCCGTCTTGCTAAAGAACCTTTTTGTACCAGAAATTTGAGACAACTGGCTTTTCAACCAGCAATCCTAATTTTCGCAGTGCGCAGATGCTGATGAGCCATTCTCATATGTACTAAATGTCAAGGCAGAACCTTCCAAATCTGCATCATGGGAAGCACTTTGCTTTTCTGAAAATTCAAAAAGTTCAAAATAGGCAGAAATTTTGCTCTGGAAAAAAGATCCCCATTTGAGTTTT